AAACCAGTGTGTGCACACACTTTTGCTACCTTTTCTTTTGATGTTCTGTTCATCCTTTCTACTTGTCCCAAAGACTGTGGGTGATAGGGGGTATGTGGGTTTCTTTCTATTCCTAGCAATTTGTACAGTTGATCAATTATATTTGCTGTAAAATGAGCACCCCTGTCCCATATCTAGGTATAACTTCTTTCAGTAAAGCTTTTACTACTCCCCTTGTGTCAGCTTTCCTTGCCGGGAAGGCGTCCACCCAGCCTGATAGTTGATTTACTATTACAAACAAATGTTTGTATATGTAAGCGGAGGTCATGTCTGCATGACTTACTTGCAATGGTTGAAAAGGGAAGTGGACCCATAATCGCTCCCCCGACTCTGAGCTTGGCCTGTTACTTGAGAGCTTTTGACAAGTTGGTGTCCTGGTTTGGGATAGAACAAAACCAATTTTCCTTTACAGTAGTTTGACTTTTTTCAGTTAAGTCTCTTCCAACTGACTGCACTCTGAAATTAACGGTATGTTTTTCAGACTTCTGGCAGCGATAATGTCTCATGTTCATAGTGAATACCCAGGAATGACATGCATAGTGGCTCCTGCTTACACTGATTGCTCTAACAGCCAAGGCCAGCTCACTTTGCTATTTGCCCTGTTGGGGGGTTGGAAGCAGAAGAGGGTAGAGGGGTCACACCTGTTGGGAGGAGTGGACAAGGACAGGGGACCCAAAACTGACCAACAGGGTATTCCGTCCTGTCTGCCTCATGCTCAGTATAAAGCTGAGGGATCAAAGCGTCAGCCCTCTTTCTTCAATGGCTGGCATCTGAGGAGGACTCCATGTGTTTGCCTTTGAAGCTTTGCTTTGCCTTCCCCTCTGTGCCCCGCCTGCCCCCCACCCCCAGCCCTCACACCAGTGGGACCTGCTCCCACAGCAGCCGTGGCTGAGGGGCCAGCCAAGCCCCGGCAGTGCCCCACTGTACTGGTTTTGGCTGGGATAGAGTCAATTTTCTTCATACTTCCTTGTATGGGCCTATGTTTTGGATTTGTGATGAAAACAGTGTTGATCACACAGAGAGGCGTTAGTTACTGCTGAGCAGTGCTTGCACAGCCTCAAGGACTTTTCTGCTCCTCACACTGCCCCACCAGCGAGCAGGCTGGGGGACACAAAGAGCTGGGAGGGGACACAGCCAGGAGAGCTGATCCCAACTGACCAAAGGGATATCCCAGACCACAGGGATTCTTTCTTTCTTTCTCTCTTTCTCTCTTTCTTTTCCTTCTTCTTAGACTATCTTTATCTCAACCCATGAGCCTCTGCACTTTTACCCTTCCATTTCTCTCCCCCATCCCAATGGGTGGGGGGTGTGAGCAAGGGGCTGTGTGGTGCTTAGCTGCCTGCAGGGTTAACCCACAACACCCACATCCCAGGGGACTGGCGGGCTGGGGTGTTCCTGGTGCCATGTCTGCCTGCAGCAACACGCTGTCAGGGGGACCCTGTTGCTCAGGGGCATCTGTAGCCCCCAAGTTCCGTTCACCTGAGGAAACTGAGGCACGGGCTGGGGGTACATCCCTTCTCCCACTCATATATCCTCAGACTTGCCAATGACACCAAGCTGTGTGGAGTGGTTAACACGCCGGAGGGATGGGATGCGGTCCAAAGGGACCTGAACAGCCTGGAGAGGTGGGCCTGTGGAAACCTCATGAAGTTCAACAAGGCCAAATGCAGGGTCCTGCACATGGGTCAGGGCAATCCCAAGCACAAATACAGGCTGGGTGGAGAATGGATTGAGGACAGCCCTGAGGAGAAGGACTCAGGGAAGTTGGTGGATGAGGAGCTCAACATGAGCCGGCAATGTGTGCTGGCAGCCCAGAAAGCCACCTGCATCCTGGGCTGCATCCCCAGCAGCGTGGCCAGCAGGGCGAGGGAGGGGATTCTGCCCCTCTGCTCTGGTCTGGGGAGACGCCCCTGCAGTGCTGCCTCCAGCTCGGGCGGTCCTCAGCATCAGAAGGACGGTGGCCAGAGGAGGCCACGAAGTGTTCCGAGGGCTGGAGCCCCTCTGCTGGGAGGACAGGCTGGGAGAGTTGGGGGTGTTCAGCCTGGAGAAGAGAAGGCTCTGGGGAGAGCTTAGAGCCCCTTCCAGTCCCTAAAGGGGCTCCAGGAGAGCTGGGGAGGGACTCTTGATCAGGGAGGGGAGCCATGGGATGAGGGGTTACGGTTTGACACTGAAGGAGGGGAGATTGAGATGAGATATGAGGAAGAAATTCTTTCCTGTGAGGGTGGTCAGCCCTTGGCGCAGGTTGCCCCGAGAAGCTGTGGCTGCCCCATCCCTGGAGGTGTCCAAGGCCAGGCTGGACAGGGCTTGAAGCAACCTGGGCTGGTGGGAGGTGTCCCTGCTCAGGGCAGGGGAGTTGGAATTAGAGGATCTTTAAGGTCCCTTCCAACTCTAACCATTCTATGACTCTATGATTCCAGGCCTCTGGATTATATCTGGCTTATACAGGCTTGGGGCAGAGTGGCTGGAAAGCTGCCCGGCAGAAAAGGACCTGGGGGTGTTGGTCAACAGCCGGCTGAACATGAGTCAGCAGTGTGCCCAGGTGGCCAAGAAGGCCACCAGCATCCTGGCCTGTATCAGGAATAGTGTGGCCAGCAGGACTAGGGAAACAATCGTCCCCCTGTACTCGGCACTGGTGAGGCCCCACCTCGAGTACTGTGCTCAGTTTTGGGTCCCTCACTACACGACAGACATCAAGGTGCTGGAGTGAGAGAAGAGAAGGGCAGCGCAGATGGTGAGTGGTCTGGAGCACACGTCTGATGAGGAACGGCTGAGGGAACTGGGGTTGTTCAGCTTGGAGGCTGAGGGGAGACCTTATCGCTCTCTGCAACTACCTGAAAGGAGGTGTTGGTACATGCGCTGATGAGGCAGCAGGCATGGGGACACGTGTGCACATATGTGCCTGCACTAAGCAGCATGGGAGTGCATGTGTGTGGGCACACCTGGGTCTGTGTGGAGCAGGCGTGCACACAGCTGTGCACACCACATGCATGTGAGCAGGGCAATTGGGCACATTTGCCTGTGTGTCCTTGAGTGTCCCTGGTGGGGGTGGGGAGAGGGTATTGTGAGCGTGATGGGGGTCCTCAACCTCTCTCACACCCCTTTGCTGTCCCCAGTGTCCCAGGTTATCACCATTCTAAGGTCTAAGTCCCTGGGGTGCCCTTTGCCTGTGGGGCTGAGGGGGCACAGCTGTACCTTCCTGACCCAAGGTGTGACCCCAGCAGTGTGGGGTCCCCTGGCAGTGGAGTCTGCTGGCCTTGGGTGTTTTCTCGCCTGCAGATGGAGAGCCTGGGGAAGGCGCGGGCTGTATACAGAAGCTGAGCTCTACCCGTGCCCTCTGTCACCCAGAGGGACCCAGAGGTGCTCCTCCCTGGGATTAGGGTGGGCGCAGAAGGGGGAGGAGATATTGGGGGCTGCTCAGGGGTTGAAGTGCCGGGGGTTCAGACTGTTTGTCCACCTCTACCATCACCACCTGGGCCCTGGGCCCTGGGCCCCCGTTGCAGGGGGTGAGTGGGGAAGGACTGAGTGATGCTTCTCCTGTGCTTGGTGTGGGAAAAAACCTTCAAGTCCTGGCACCATCTGCCCATCCACAGTGGTGACCCTACATCCCCCCACCCCATACCATGCACCCATCACCTTGGTACCCTCTGTCCCATCCCTTGGAGCCTTATTCCCTAAAAAGCCCCATCCCCTACACCCTTTGCTGCCCCTGAGCCACCCCCCAGCCCCCCACCCCTGTGCTGGCTGCCCG